ATATTTTTTTAGGATTAACGAAACATCATCATGAATCTTTTCGTTTCGAAATAATTAATCAACGTCACCAAACATAGGGTCCCGTACCAAAAATGATGTCTCAAATTAAAATTTCATTAAAATGTTATAAAATATATTTTTAACTGGCTCTGGAAAAACGAAAACCTATAAAATTAAATTTTAATTAAAACCCGATTTGCATAGAGATTGAAATTCGAAACAAGATTACAAACAAGTGAAGTGAAGTCCCAAACAGTAAGTAATATGTAGTTATAGTTATGCTGACACTCTTACTATAGAGTATAGCTGTTTCAATGTTGTGTTGTGGTACGGTAAATGGTAAGTAAATTTTTTTATAAGGGTAGTAAAAAAAATGTTGCTATCAAATACATATGACATGAAAAAACGTTGCGTTATAGTTGATGAATTTTAAATAGGTAATTTCGGTTTTTTATAGTGATGTGCAATATTGTTGGAGCCGATAATTGACTCAAAACGCCTGCCAAAAACAGGGAGCAATAACGTCAGGATTCGGGACGCGGTGAAGAAAGTAAAGAAAATTGCGACATCTAAATTTGTAATCGAAATAAATTAAACAAGTTCGAGTACTTAGTCGTTTTCTATATTCTGTGCGCTCAATATTAGTAATACAGAAACAAAAGTACTCAATATTACAGCACGTACATACATGTTCGTACAGATTAACATTAATGTAGTGCTATTAATCAAAAACTGAAGACACTTCGTACAAATTGTTGCGGTAAAAATAGCTTTGTTTCCGGAGTCTTACTTGACAGACAGTCTTACAGGAGGATACTTACTAAATTTAAGAAATTGTTTGTACAAACTAGATAGATAAAAAGTAAATGATCTCATATAATTTATTACATTTTAATTAAAATTAGCAACAAAATAATTTTAATATATTAAAACACTAAAAATTGATTGATATCTGTTAATATTTTTATAAAATTTGAATAACTTTTTAAGAAGTGGTGGAAATAACCAATAATCTTTGAAGATTTTTAATTCACATGTCTTACTCTTCATTGAATCTTAAATATATTTATGCTATCAATTTATTAACAAAACACAGTATTGTGAATATTAAAAAAATAACTAGGAATATACAATGATCGTAAATTATAACTTTTTCATAAAAATATTTAAAAATTATTAGGAATCAAATCGTTTTTATTTGTTTTAAAATATTCGCGTCGTCTACAGTTAGTTAACCAATATTATTAGAGTTCAATGTGTATCGATTCTTGGATCCAACTTTGGATAAAACATATTGCATCTATAAAATGAAATTGAAAAATATTAGTAGTATTTTAATATTAAATATAATTAAGATAAAATATATTTTAACACGAGCTGGAAGACGCAGTGTGGGTAGGCCCCCAACAAGGTGGACCGACGACCTGGTGAAGGTCGCGGGAATCCGCTGGATGCGGGTGGCACAAGACCGGTCGTCGTGGAGATCCTTGGGGGAGGCCTATGTCCTGCAGTGGACGTCTTTTGGCTGATGATGATGATGATGATGATATTTTAACACAAATTTGCAACTCCCTCGCTCTATAAATAACTCAAGTTTGTGTTCACGTTGAAGTCTTCGCATTAAAGTTTCTTCTTGAATTACTCATGTTGCAAGGTTCTTGTAAATATGTTAATCTACAGAATTTAATAAACTAACTGCTTAGAATGTTAAGTGGTTAAGATATTCTACAAGTGGTTAATATGCTATTAGTTTTATTGTAATGCAAAACTTTATTTTAACTACAATAGTTGAAAATTGCTTATTTTAAACATTCTACATCACGCACTATATAATTTAACAGAGAATTATAGAGTACTGATATTTTACCTAAACTGAAAGTCCTTCCCTATTATTAAAACTGAAATTATTCTTTAGACATAGATCGCAATTATTGTCTCCGAAAGTTTATCGCAATAACTTGTATAAATTGAAAATGATTCAGAGCATGTTTTATATTAACGATTACAAATCCTTTTCTAACGATGTACATCTTCGTTATATCTACAGAGATATTTCTTGTTCAGTGAAAGACACTTTAATCTGTATTATACCCAAAGAGTGTCTGAGTAAAAACGATCTCTCTTTAATCACGGCTTCGTATTAGCTGTGGGCTGTCTCAAATATTACAAAGTACCTATTTATTAAAATAAAGATGGTGAAAATAAATCTTCCACAAATAAACTCGACTCATTCGTATCTAATTTACTTTTTGTTACCATAACTTTGACTCCTTTCTTTAGATCTTAAAAAAAACATAATATTTCCGAGTTTCGAATTTCGCATTCTATATTATGATGTGAAATATTTAGTTTTATACATTGGCGTGACGCTGTCATAAGTTATTGTGAGACAATTTTGAATAATTTTATTCAATTTAGGTATAAAAAAATAAATTAAGAAATCTTTCTTACTTATCGTGTTGTCATGAGCGCCATATGAACATTAAATATTGCTTAGTGACTTTATTTTTTAAAGATATGTATAGAAATATATAATTGTATCTCTAATATGTTGTGACATCTACACAATTAGCGAAATCCACACATTGTTTTCGAAAATTCCAGGACTAAAAGAATGTCTTTTTGTAATTTTCTAATCTTAACATAGAACACAAGATTTAATTTATATGTTTTGTATTTGATTATAGGATTGAAAAGCTAAACTTTCACTATTTCATTAAGAAGTGTAATTGTTAGTAAATTGGTATATTAATGTATGAGAAAATAAAAGTAGTTAAAGCAATATATTCTTGATTAAGGATAAAATTCAATGTAAAATTTTTATTCTTTTGGCCTTTAGCTGCTTATTTATTTATTTTCACGGTGGGAGGTCAAAACATCGTATCGATGAGAGAACCCTATGGCGATCTCTGGGGGGATTCTGGAGTCCCTGCAGTCTTTTGATCAAGCTCCTACTGGCATTTAGTCTGGTTTATTTTTGAGCTATAATTTCAAATTCTGTTCGATTTCCCTTCTTTATATATAACATATCTATATAAGTGTATACTACATATATACAAACCATGATTGGTTTTAATAATAACAAATGTAAAGAGGTTGCATTTCCTTTAAACAAAAAGCATACGGTATCAACATCAGAGGCCTGGACTATAATTTATTGCAGGTCAAACATATCCAAAAAGAAGTATCATTCGGCTTATATTTTCTTGGTAAATGCTTGAAATTGAAAAAACTCTTAATGTTAGTACCAAAAGGAGAAACCTTAACTACTAAGTCCTACAAAATGACATTTAAAGAAGTTCAAGTTATAAAAAAACACATATGTTCGCTGGACCTCCACCAACTCCACCTCGTATTTTTGTCGCTTGCGCCAACATATTTGAAAAATGGCACCTAAAAGCTGTTCAAAAGTTGAAACACCACTAAATTTATAAACTATCAACTTTTAAACTCCTGGAAAACGTTCCAGGTAACCACTATATTTCTCACCAAATGACTGGACTACTATTTCTTTTTTTGCAAGAAGTGACGGTGAACAATTAAAGTATGTCATAGACATAATTAAATTGATTGAACGTATATATAGCACATGCATGTATAATATAAAACTATTCCATACAATAATTTTACATATGTTTTTCTGGTTCTGGGTCTTAAAACGCAAATATGCTTTTTATGACCTACGTTTTTGCGAATTGAATGTGCGGTCTGTGGAAACAATAAACGTAAAATACTTTTTATGATGAGTTGATTTCTTTCAATAAGGCAGGTGGCCTTCGAGATATCATTGTGAGAAAAAATATTTTAAAAATATTCAAAGTTTCTTATATAACATAAATTATGAGAAATATTTCACAATATTTGTGTGAATGAAGTCAATGGAAAAATGTAATGAAGTTTCTATTGCCAGACAGCCAGCCAATTTTCATTACTTTTTTAAATCATTTATAATAAAAAAGTGTTGTGCAAGTTTATGAATTTTATTAGAAGACGTTAAAATTTATTGTGACGATTTCTTTCAAGCTATGAAAGTTATTCGATCAAACTTTAAACTTACATCTCGGTGCGATAGTTAAGGATGTAGTTGAAAAATGATGTTATTTCAGTTCGATGCATTTTTAAGTGTCTTTTCAAATTGAATAATTATATAAAGGTATTATATAAAGGTTATGTTACTTACAGGGTTTACACTCAATTGTCGTTGACTATACCCTTAATAAGAAGTAAGAATGTACTCGGTTTTGTTTGCTGATTTTATAAATAAATCTATTAATAAAATCGAGTCAGAACCAGTGAAAATGTAGAACTTTTATTTTGTTGATGCATAATATATATACATATTATATGCATATACTAGGGGGAAAATAGCTCCTTAGAGATAATTCCGTCCGAATAAACCTGTATGTTTTCTATTTCATTTGCCTATTAAATTATATTATTAATGTTAAAACATTAAAACAGTTCGTAAAGCTATAATATCAAATAAACTATCTGTACAGTTATTATTGGATATATTTAAGATAATGAAAATACCATTTAGCTTTACGAATTTATTAGCATAAAATATAAAATTTTCAGTTGTCATGTTCTTTAAAATGTATCTTACTAAATGCTTACGTATTTACTTATATTTATTAATGTTGATTTAAACAATAAGGAAGACAATAATTTTACATACATTATTATTACATTTAAGAAGGATATTTTTTTTCAAAAAAGTAGGTTGTGCAATTAAATCTAAACAATTTATTACTGAAAGAGATCATTTTGTATATTAACTGAATTTGCTGAAGCTAATCAGAAAAGTCAAACTTTAGAAGTATCCTTCAACAATATTTGCATACGTATAAAGATATGAATTGTAAAAAAATAGGACTTGGAAAAAATATACCATAATTTTAAACGAAGTTGCAACTTCATTGTAACGTATAACAAAAATGGCTAGATTATCCAAGATTATATACAATATTCGAATGCCATATATTATGGGTTTATTGGCATCAAGTGGGTGGGTCGGGAGGTTGTTCGGGTTCCTTGCTAAGAGGGCTGCCTTCCTCGCCGCTGTTACCGCTGTTGATTGCCACGGAAGTTAAAGGAACCTGCGAATATAACGTATGTATATAGTAACAAATTAGGTAAACATTATTGATTATAAACGATATTATACTAAGATGTTTGTGTTACCTTTGATAGCTATATATAATATTTCACAATAGTAAATAACATAACGAGTCATGATAGCTCCTTGCCAAGTAAGTATTGTTCATTTATTTTACACACACGATTCTTAACCTGTATATTTTGAATAATTTTTTTTACTTCAATGACCCGAGTGAAATTTGCTATAACAAACCTTTATAGTCCATTTTGTAAATCTTTCAAAAATATCTATCCAAATGATTTATATAAGAATCTAAAAGAAACAATAACTTTTAAAAGATGTTGCTTCAAGATAATTATCTAATTTGTAAACTGTCCTACATACTAGTAGTATCTTTTTATTTAAGATATGAAAATTATATTTTATCTCTTATAGATTGTGATGCTATGAAATTCCATTTCAGCCCAATCCACAAAAGCAATTGCGGATAGCACATACAAATTGGTATTAATAGCTAAATTGTACCTTACTACTAAGATATTAAGGTTCATAGCATCTTAAACAATCAGATAACTTGAGCTTAGAAACGTGACGGGCATGTTTTAAGACAATGATAAACTGGTTCAGAATATCTTCTGAGCTTGTCCTTAATGGACTCATTATAATGATAATATTATTATAATATCGTTACAACTACATACAATTATGAAACAAAATCTCGTTTTGATTATAACCAGATTATTATAGAATATACCAGACAAGCAAAATATATATATACAAATATAAATACCTGATTATCGTGTCAAAATAAAATGGCTATCTTTATTAAATAAATTTTTAATACTTTGGGAATATTTTAAGAAGTTTGACAATTTCTTTATATTCAAAATAGACGTGAATCACATTTCATCTGCTCGTGATCACGGTAACTAAAACGTCGGGAATATGTAGTTTTTTTAATAATAAAATACTCGATTAAATCCGAAAGTATTAGTTTCATTTATACAATCGATGAATATACCGTATTTTGTACCTAATATGTTTATATATGAATTATATAGTAGATTAATTATTTATCCTAAATCAAATACAGTTTCTAATATCTTAGGCATTTCAAATAAAATTGAACATAATATAAAATACGATATACCTAAATATAATTTAGTGGACTAAATTATTGGAATAATAAAACAGCTTTATATTTATTTTATTTTTTGGTTACAATTTACTATTTTAGATTTTATTATAACATTCTTTAGTCTCTAAAATCTATACAGATATTAAAAGCAGAAACAAAAATATAGTACATTTTAAATTTTTCATTGAATGGTATATACATATGTACATATAAGTACATTGTTCACCCATATGCATATTGTTGCGTATTGTTGGGTATGTCGGAGTGAGGATAGTTAAAAATAAACAGTTTTTAACATGGAAGCTTGTATAAGGCTATAAAGTTACAGTGCATAATGACCATCCCTATATTTTCTTGAAACCGGCACAGAGTAAACAAATATAGTATAATACATCAAGTCTTGGACTCATTATAAAGTTATATCACGGTTTAATAACTATGGTAGGTATATTTTGTGATTGTGGCTATCAAATTCAGAATGCAAGTGCAATTCAGGTCACTAATTTTGATGCAGATTTTCGTCTAAATCTGCTAAGTGATTCAGCGTTATTAAGGAACATATTACAAACAAACATATCAACGAACTCTTTAAATGTAATGCTTATATTATTGTAAGATTACCATTGAGACACCGGTGCACATATTAGCCTCTGAATGACGTGGTGGCGTCAGAGCTGGATCGTACCGCAAATCAATTTGCATCATAAAGAGAGCAGCAGCTAGGGTTGTGATGGACACAGACAACTGTGCTGATGCTACACCTATACAAGTTCTACTGCTGCACCTGGGATTTTAGAAGTCGTTTTATTTTGTGGGAAAATACAAATCGTTGTAACATTAAAATTCCGTATATACTTTAAAAACTATTAACAAATGTCATTAATTTCCTAAAATGACTTAAATTACTTTTAGTTTGGTTTCTTTACGTATGGCAAGGTAAAATAATATCTTAAGAAGTTGGTTTCACATATAAAGTTCCCAAACTTACCCCCAAAGGTTTCAATCTACTCTACTTAATGGATATACATTTCCAAGTTATACAAGGTACAAGGTAAACTGAGTTACATATTTCTGACATACTTACCCAATGTTCATCAAAGATCTGATGCAGAAAGCCAGCATTGCGATATGTGCAATGATAGCTATAATCCACAGTATTGTAAGAGGAATGGCTGCGCATGGTGAAGGACCAAGTGCTCTCCAAGGAGCTCCCCAGTTCTTAGTCGATTTAGATCGAGCTGATACCCAGCCACCAAATCCTCTACTGAAGTACATTGATGTTGCTAAAAAAACACCACAATTGTACGTAATAGTCTCATCAATATTCAAAAAACATTGCTACTTTCACAAAAAAAAAAACAAAATCTGACCCAAGCATTCCAAATAAAGAAGTATCAATCATCATGAGTATGATTTAATACAAGGATTAATTCTAAAGATGGTAGAAGGTATTACATAACTATACCGGCAGCTAAGACGGTGACAGCGCCAGCAGGAACTCCAAGTCCTAAAGCTGGTTTGTGTCTTTCTTCCAACCAGCCCACAGCACCCACCACCACACCTCCAATACCGCATACAATCTATTAATAAATCAATTTAAGTATCAACAGTCCGATGCTCTAAAAATATACATAACTTATTTACTTTGTTTAGCCTTGATAATGGATTTGAATTATGATAGCAATGAATGCTTATCAAAACTAAGACGATATATTTATAGGAATGTTAAAACGTCTATTGTTTTACAAATTTCTGGCGTCAGTTCAAAATTCTTTAAATCGTGTTAATATATTCGCGTGCTATAACTGTTTAACAAATAATCACAGAGTCAAAGGTGTAAAAACACTAAAAACATTACATGCTACAGAATTAATTTATTACTCCAATGTTTGGTTTGTGAATTGAATGTATGTATGTAGGTGTTTTATTTTTAACAAAAATCTTAATGGTCAAAATATTTTAGCAAATACATTTCTCGAGAAGCAGAAGACATTTTGATTTTAATTTTCATAAAGTACATAAGTAATCGCCCACTGAACATACAACCTTTTATTTGTATTAATACAATACAATCATACATTTTAAATTAGATGCAAAATATTATTTTACATTTGATTAAAATACCTGTAATACTCTCACTCTTAATGCTATTGCGAAGGGATATATCTGTTGTCCAGAAGCATCTTGATCGTCACATTTAGATGCTCCACTTACTGCGCTGCAGACAGATTGCTTACGGGACCACATCGCTTTCGTATTGATAACTGTGAGATATTATCAATTAAATATATAAATAATCTTGAAAATATGATACGCAATTTATATGAGATCAAAATTTATATGAATGATTTGGTTTTGTGACAATCTGACCTTAAGTGACTAATATGAAGGATTCGGTTGTGTGAACCTTGAAATTCATTATATGCTGACGTCTTGTTACATCATGACATGTGATACATTGTTTAAATGTTTCAAATTTGGTTCACAAATAGTGAAATATATGGAAATTTTATCATGATCTTGTTCATTTTATCTCTTAGTTTTCCTCCTAGTTACTTTTTAGGAAATTAATATGAATAAATAAAAAAGTGAGCATAATTCAAAATGAGAAAAATTTTAATACATATCTTTTTCAGTTTTAATTTATTTTAAACAACATTTTGATATTAAAGATCGTCGCTGATTAAATTTTTAATAAATTGCAATAGACATAAATATGTTTGAAGAACACTTGAAAAAAAAAATGTGTTTAAATACATTTTTACTATTATAATACTTAACATCAAATAAAATAAAACGTTTATGACCGGCTACGAAATAAATGAAAAATGAAAGCACATCAAAAACTATAATTAAAAAAAAAACTCATTAGAGAAAATATATAAACAAAAATATAAAAAAAAAATAGAAATAACTTCAAGTGGAAAGCCAATCAGAGAAATTACGATGATTTGGTTGGAACCATCGTTCAAATTAAATGGTTCCTGATTTGTTTGCCACAATTTAAAGTATCCTTTTACTTTCCACTTCATCCTTAAATCTATATCAATCAGAGTCCCTTCAATAGAGTTAAATTACAAATTGCTTTCTTACATTTAATTATTTATCGACTTCCAGGCTGAATTTTTAATCAACTCCTGTAATTTATAGGTATACTAAGAATATTACCGTTTCATATTTTTACATGCATTGAATTGCCAATCATTATATTTACTTTTCTTGTAGAAAAAAGTTTCATGTGGAAAATTTTATCAAGTTCACATTTTAATAAAAATCTCATATACGTTTTAGATAGGCATTAAGTATGTTTAACTCCAACATTTATATTCTTTCATGTCTAGAAAAATCAAGATTTACCTAATATATAATTTCAATGTTATATTACAATAATATATCAATACAAGAAATAGTACAAGATAGATAGATGTATTCGTTTCTATACGCGTTCGTTGGCGAGGAAATGTCGATGATATTCATATTCAAAGTATGCTAGAGATTTGGAATCTATTCTAGTTGGAGAATTTAATAACTTTCATGTTTGTACAGAGCTTTGTGTTGTCCATAATCGTAGTTTTGTATAGAATTTAGTTAATTATTTACTACAGAGTGCCTGAATAGAGTTTTAAGTAGTTAGATATAACAGGATTAGAGAGGCAACTATTTGTTTTAGAATAAGAAGCGTCAATTAGAATTATCTATAGACATTTATTTTGCTTACTTTTTAATGGTTTTAAATAATCGAACGATTTAACTGAATGAAATTTGTTTTTAAGTCGGTTACCTATATACGAGTATAACGTTGAATATAAGAATAAAAGCCTGAACAACGAAAACCTTTCAGAATAAAACTGAAAACGAAGTTGTGTATTACAATTATTTTAAATATTTTTATTTTATTCACAATTAGTTTTGTTTTACTTAAATGTAAACCTTAAAATTCTTGGTTCCATTAATTAATAAAATGATAACTAAGTAACAGCTCGAATCCTATTTGTATATTCAGTTTTATTATTAATGAAGACTCCAGTACAAAGACGCAATTATAGAGCGAATAGAAAATAAATTGTTTCTGTTTATTTTTTAAAACAATGCTATAATTTAGTAGTAGGAGTTAGTTATTAGATTGATTAATAAATATAGTTTATTATCATCGAACAGAATTAAAAACAATAAATTATAATCTTGACTAAAAGTACATAAAATTTATATCACTAATAAGCACTACCAAAACGATAGGGAAGACATACTCGTATTATTGCTTGCATTAATTTATCAGAAACCGAAATTAAATGAGTTTTAATGTTTTTTGTATTTCAGTCTATATCGTTATTATAAGAATGAGTTGTACTGGTTGATAATTGGAAAGAACCATACTCAAATACCAATTTCACATAAATTATTTCGTGTCGAAAATTGCAGTGAAATTTTATGAGTTCTATCAATTATTAAAGACTATGATAATATTATGAAAATGGTTTTATTATATTTTAACATTACAATTACGATTAATTTGTTAGAATGATAATAAAAATCTGATAAAATTTCAAATTAAATTTATTATAAGTTTGTAATTATACTTACAATAAAAGTGAAAATGCAAATGTGACGCTTCATTGTCAGATAATCTTTCTTTGTTAGGTTTAAATTTACAAAAAAAACTTAATACTTATCTTGGCGTTGTTTGAAGAGACAAAGTTTTAATTATAAATCCCACTAGGACTTCTCTTAATTTGAATCTGACCTCTTTTCAAATGTGGCGTCGAAAATCCGCTACAATTTGTAACATCTTCCTAAGAATATTTTTATTTTAAACATATACAATAAAAACGTGTGTCTTATACAAATATATAAAGTATTACAGATGATTCTTGTAAGCAAATTAGATAAACACAAAAAGTCCTCATAAATTCTTTAATAAAAGTGAAGTTACGAAGAAAAATTATGAAAAAAATAATTCTTTATGTTTTGTTAATACACAAAAAAAATATTTTTTGTATTCTTACATATGTCAAATACCTTTTTGAAATTAAAAGATTAATTCATATTATAATAATTTCCTTTTTTCTTTAGGTTACGTTAAAACACGGTAGGTAAAACTGTAAACGGGAAAGGGTAAGCCTCATCCGACATTCCGGATATGAGAAGAGCAAAAAAGCTATTTCCCATACCTCATTTAAAACATGACAGAAATATGTGAAAAATTAATTCAAATTAATATACCTCTTATCTTCAATTTATATAAGTTGCACAAAATCAAAGACACATTTTGAACATAATAAACTTTAAATCAAGACACTAATTTGTGTAGCCATAGCAATCATGTCGTTGTTATTAATGTACATTATAGAAAGACACTGAAAAGGCGTCACTTAGCTATCAAAGTTTTATTGTAAACAAGTTAAAAAAATCAGAGTAAGTAATATGAGTATGAAGTAAGAAAAAGTCAAGTATTAAATTTTGTTTTTAATGTCAATTATATTATTATTCTTATGAAGGAATATGTGCTTAACTAACATTTAAATGACGTTGATCGACCAAATAGTTGAAATATAACTGTTGTCACATAGATAACAGTAGAAGAACAAAGATAAGGTACCCTATTGCCTCGGTACTTAAAAACACTTTTATTTTATGAAAATTGTTCATAAGATTATGATTGTCCTTACAGTAAGATAATCATAAAAAACATTTAAATCCTTTTTTATTCATATATATGTCTGATGATTTCAAAAAAAAATTGTCAATAGAACCAAAACATACGGAATTTTGGGTAATTTATTTATTAAACTAAACAAAAATAAATCGAAGGAAACTTAAGGCTCTTTAGTAAGAACAATTTAAAGGAAATAAATCTTTATATCTTTCTATGAAATATAATTTGTAACTTATAAAAAACTTTGTTATAACTAAATAATTCTTACCAGGCATCAAAACGCATATCCATATAAAAGACTATAGTTTAAATATATAACAAAATAATAATATTTCTCACAATTTCACAGACATTGTTCTCAACAATCACAACACGATCTTCTGAACATAACAAAGATATATCAACACGTTCGCTCCCATCGGAAGCTGGTGAAAGACTGACTTCCAACTTCCAAGCGTACTATGTAGAATAATGTTTTTCTTGGTACGTCAATTATTAAAAGAAGACCTAGCAGTAGGACGAGGAAATGAATTTTTATTCTTTCTCTTCGTTATAAACCAATTTGTCCTTTTAGCATATTTTTGCAAGTTGCATCTTTGAATAAGCTAATTCATGAAGGATGATCAATGTAAACGAATATTAGAACTATAAGTGTAAGTGTTACATACAATCATTGGAGGTTTCAATGAAATATGTTTTTTTAATAGCCCACAGTGGTTATAAAAATTTTAATGAAGCCCATAAAAACGAAATTGATGAAACAAATTATATATTGGCGCAAACTGATTCCAACTTCCTCTTTAATAACAATCGTTGTAAGTATGTAGAACTTTTTAAAGGCTCAAAAAAAAATATATATATTTTTAAAGTTTAATATACATATGTAGAATTAAGTATCTTAATTTCAAATAAAAATCTGATGTAAGAGGAAAAATTATATAAAATACAGCATTTGAGCTTATTACTTCTCGTATATTGAAACTCCTTCGTGAACCCTGTTGCTATTTTTACGATATTTCTTTTAAAGTTCAAAGCTTCTAAGTAACACTGGGGATTTCATGAGAAAGGTTATAAATAGACCTTCATTCTTAACCTTATATGACTGAGATATTATAGAAGATTTGGTGGAAGCGCCTATTATCATGAAGTAACATAAGAGTACCCAAAAGTCGGTCTACTTTCCTTTAATTCAATATTTTACCAATACTTCCTGCCTGTATCGTTTCCTGTAATTTTTTTTATAGTATCTAACTTATTTGATAGCCTCATTATTTAGCATAATTGATAGAATTTATAGGTATATTTTTATAGCGGTAACTGCTGAACATCAATTAAATAATATGTTTTCTGATTGGTCTATATTTTAAAACGAATTGAAAGTTTTTCTTCACTTACCAAATTGGTCCTTCAGTTATCAATTGATGTCTAATAGAAAAGATCTTGAGACGCATGTTAGACATGAAAGTATTTGATTAGCAGTAAAAAGAATATTATAATTGTAGTGTTAGTTGAGATAATTACTTTATAAACAGGATTGCGAAGAAACATGGATGTAAAAATTTGCCTACTGAAAAGGTAATTTCGTTAAATTTCATAACATATTTCACACTTACATATATTGATTTTAAGCCAAAGTAACTTTAATATTCAATTCATTTAATGTTCGTGAAGGGTTTTCCACGTGACGAAATTCACAAAAAATGAATTATTTTACAATAAAACGTCGTAATATATGGAAATCGCTCAATTTTACCGTGACAAATTTGACGTTGCTTATTGATTTATGTTGTAGGAATAAAATCTTTAGAAGTTATATTTCTTTATTACCATAACGGTGAATGCTTCGTAAAAGCCTGCGACTTGACTTTAATTAACTGTATAAATTATATTTTAGTGAAACATACACCAATAAGTATGATCTAATATAAAATACTGATTTCAAACTGTTAAACTACTTAAATTTTCTGAATATAACGTAGCTTCATAAGTAAGAACTTTTCCATATAGTTGTTGGAAAGTATTTTGTTTGTCACCTATTAATTCTTAATGAAGTTAATATCGGAGCAATTAAACGAAAAAGAAAGAAATTCATTCATACATAAAGAGAATACGATTATTAAAACTAAAACGAAAAAAGCCTCGAATATTATTCTACAGACATGTCATGTCATCAGCCTATCAGAAGCCCACTGCTGAGCAAAAGGCCTCTTTCTCACATGGAGAAGGTTTGAGCATTAATCACCACGCTTGCTCAAGACGGGTTGGTGATTTCAAACTTATAATTGTGAAACTACAAGTCCAGGTTTCCTCACGATGTTTTCCTTCACCGTATGTCAGTGATGTCTAAATACTCTCAGAAAGTACATATGACTCCGAAAAATCACATTGGTACTTGCCAGGTTTGAACCCGCGCCCTCGGCAACGAGAGGCGGGCCCCCAGCACACAGCACACAGCACACAGCACACAGCACACAGCACACAGCACACAGCACACAGCACACAGCACACAGCACACAGCACACAGCACACAGCACACAGCACACAGCACACAGCACATAGTACACCGCACGCTCACACACGTGGTGTGCAAACTGTATCGTGTATTGTGTGAACTGCAAACTGTATCGTGTATCGTGTAAACGGCAAACTTTGTTATAACTAAATAATTCTTACCAGGCATCAAAAGGCATATCCATATAAAAGACTATAGTTTAAATATATAACAAAATAATAATATTTCTAACAATTTCACAGACATTGTTCTCAACAATCACAACACGATCTTCTGAACATAACAAAGATATATCAACACGTTCGCTCCCATCGGAAGCTGGTGAAAGACTGACTTCCAACTTCCAAGCGTACTATGTAGAATAATGTTTTTCTTGGTACGTCAATTATTAAAAGAAGACCTAGCAGTAGGACGAGGAAATGAATTTTTATTCTGTCTCTTCGTTATAAACCAATTTGTCCTTTTATCATATTTTTGCAAGTTGCATCTTTGAATAAGCTAATTCATGAAGGATGATCAATGTAAACGAATATTAGAACAGTAAGTGTTACATACAATCATTGGAGGTTTCAATGAAATATGTTTTTTAATAGCCCACAGTGGTTATAAAAATTTTAATGAAGCCCATAAAAACGAAATTGATGAAACAAATTATATATTGGCGCAAACATCGACCAACTAGTCGGGCAACTGGTTGGGCAACTGATCGTCCAACTGATCGACCAACTGATCGACCAACTGATCGACCAACTGATCGACCAACTGATCGACCAACTGATCGTCCAACTGGTCGACCAACTGATCGTCCAACTGATCGATCAACTGATCGACCAACTGATCGACCAACTGATCGACCAACTGATAGTCCAACTGATCGACCAACTGATCGTCCAACTGGTCGACCAACTGATTGTCCAACTGATCGTCCAACTGATCGATCAACTGATCGTCCAACTGATCGTCCAACTTATCGTCCAACTGATCGACCAACTGATCGACCAACTGATCGACCAACTGATCGTCCAACTGGTCGACCAACTGATCGTCCAACTGGTTGACCAACTGATCGACCAACTGATCGACCAACTGATCGTCCAACTGATCGACCAACTGATCGTCCAACTGGTCGACCAACTGATCGTCCAACTGGTCGACCAACTGATCGTCCAACTGATCGTCCAACTGATCGTCCAACTGATCGACCAACTGATCGACCAACTGATCGTCCAACTGGTCGACCAACTGATCGTCCAACTGATCGTCCAACTCGCTTCTATCTAAAAACAAACAGGGCCTAACCCTCGCAGCGTCTACTCAGCATTACACAATACAATATTTGAATCCAGTTCCGGTTAGGAATCTTTAATATATGTATGTAGGTACAAAAATATAACACGATTCTCATATAAATTTCTTTAACACGGACGAGAAGAACTTGTGCAAGAATTTACTAAGAATATGGAAATTCTTTGGATAAAAAATGTATTTATTGGCTGACCTTTGTGGATGCAACATCTACGCGTGACAATTAATTGTTAAGAAAAAATGTTACTTAATATATAAAATTAATATTTTTTATTTATTTATATGAAATTGGTCAAGAATTTTCTTTTCTACTTTAATCAAATGAACAGATGTATTCAAGGTGTAATGCTTTTGGCTTCTGTAAATTTTTGTTGTACTTACCTTTTTTGAATATGTAGAAAAAAAAAGTACATATGACTCCGAAAAACCACATTGGTACTTGCCAGGTTTGAACCCGCGCCCTCGGCAACGAGAGGCGGTCCCCTTAACCACTAGGCCACCACTGACTTCAACAGACATAAAACATTACATAATATTAAATAAAAAATATTACTCTTTTACGTTCAAAAAATTATTATTAAATTCTGGACCGTAAATTAAGGTCGAGATTAGAAACTTATTCAAAGATTCGACAACCGAAATGTTATACTACTATACTTATTTGTAGAGGTCCGTCTCAAAAGGGGTTGTCAGGTATTATGAGTTCCCAAATGAACACGTGATCCCAAAAGTCACAATATTAAAATCTGACCCTGATCTGAAGAATTATATCTTCATAATATTTCTCTAATAACAAATCATATAACTTGCTAGCAATCTTATTGTATATTTGATGTTGCTTTTAAATTGATAAAATACATATTTTAGAGTAAAAAACATCAAAGCTATAATCGCATGGATCGATTGAAAAATACTTTGCTGATATCGTAATTGATGAAACTATGGACGCGATCGGATTATCGGTATTTTGGTAACATAACACGATAACTGATCGTTGGACAATAATAGAACACGCTTATCTGGCCTGAGGGAGCGAACTCAATGGATCCCATGATATTTGTAATAAATGACAACCTTGGAATAGCCTTTCAGACTGACTAAATTATTCAACATTATACATTCTGAATCAATAATTTTACTGTTTTTATAAATATGAAAAAATCTTTCAAACATCAAAAGACCCGTCAAACTGTTTTAGAATTACAACAGTGGAATAAAGTTAATAGGTGCCCGATATAAAGTATATGAGAATGATTAATCACCTAAACTTCTTACACAATTTTACTGAAAGTCATAAGAACTTATAAGTAACTAAGTATATTAGTTTGATGAATCAGTATCAAATATTTCTCTTCTTTATTTTAGTTTTCTCTTTATACATTTTGTTTCAATTTCTTTCTATGATAATCATATTCTATCTACAATAACAAATTGAAATTTAGTTAATTAATATTCAATTAGTGTGATCAAGACACAATGAAACGTTTAATCTCTTTATGTTATCAGACCTAGTTTATTGCTAATTGGGTTGAAATTAATTACCCATCAGTTAATGTGAACCCGCCTTAAACAAAAACAGTCTGATCAATATTTCAGTTCAGTCTCCACATTATGTAGATTAGACTCCAAATAAAATAAAAAATACTTATTTGGAAAAATAACTTTATTATTTAATTTATTAATAGTAAAATAACGAGGTCGTTATATTTAATAGTGATTTACTTTATTTATTTATTTTTGTTATGATACAGTTTGTATTCAGATGTGTGACCATTGATTCTATTAAAAAATTAAAATGGAATAAGATGAATTTATTATAACACTCTAATTATTATATTTCCATCCTTCATTATCAATCAAAAGAAAGAAATCTCTGAACAGTATACATTTTATAAATCTCTAGTTTCTTGTGTATTTCTTCTTTATGTATGTATGGTGTCATACAGACTGGAATTGTTTAATATATGTTTATGTCACATCTGTTTTGTTAGTAGAAAATAAGTCGGTTTCTGTCACTTCATTTGATGTGGGATCCCGGCGTCGGGACGTGACGACCCCATCGCCCACCGGTGTATTCCGGTGCAATTAGTCACGGGAGGGAAGGGCCTTGACCTCCTCGTGGGGTCTTGGCCCGGGCTGGGGTAGCAGCCCATGGAGGTGGGTAGGACGAGGCTCGGCGGTGTACACCGCCGCTGCCAAGTTCGGCCCTACGTGTTGGCGGGTGGCCTCGGCCACTGTCGGCGCAGTCCGGCGTCGGGACGTGACGACCCCATCGCCCACTGGTGTATTCCGGTGCAATCAGTCACGGGGGGGAGGGCTGGGGGTACAGCCCTGGGAGTAAGACGGTCACGGATCTGGCAGGAGGCCGTCCGTGGCTGTCTTGGGGGGGAGGGGATACTCGGGTCTCTCCGGAGGCCTGAGTTCGCTTGTGGTCGGTCGGTTTCCTCTCTGTCTGCCGTCGGGCGCTTGCGCTCGTCGGTGGGTGGTTGGAGACTGGCCGCGTGGGCTTGGGTGGGAGGGGTAAGGGGTTAACCCTCTCGCGATTAAGCAAGCCCGCCAGGCGGTGGGACACTCCTGGTCACTTGGAGTGAGCCCTCGGGGGGGGGGAGGTGGCCGTTCGCGGCCCGCCGCCGGATCGTCGCGGATGCATGCTTCGGCGTTTCCCGTGGCGATCCACTTGGCGGCAACGGAGAGTGACCGCTGGTGTTTTAGTGGGCAACATGGGCCCTTCTGGCCGTGAATCCCACATAACCGCCTCTGTCTCCCCTAGACGGAGGGGTAGGTATAAAACCTTTCACCGCGATAACAAAAAAAAAAAAAAAAATTTGATGTGGGATGTTAAGTTTCATGTTGTTTCCATATGTAGCAAAAGTCGGCTATAAGAGTGGATGGTGTTTCATGTGAAAAAATTCTTCACGGACTAAAAGTTTCAATCTGGGTTCCAAGTCTCCCAAAGTCTGTTGACGAGTAACTCCAATTGTTATATCATTAAATATTTATATATTTACATAAAATTTAATCTCATACACTACCCAAAAGATTGAAAAACTTTTTTTTTTGCTAAAACTGCTTTTTAATTAAATTTTTTTATACTATTTTAAAAATTCATCACTAAAACTTAATTTGCATAGCCCCTTATAATGTTGCATACATTTAAATATCTTTAGCCATCGTGTTCTTATATTATGGGACGACAAAGAACCAAATTTACCTGATACCAATTGACTCTCTTATGTAGTGTGGTTTTGTTTTTTTTTATAAATCAAACATATTTAAACTCCATGATGATAAAAAAAGATCGATTGTGTCTTGGCCACGATGATTTTAAACTAATATAATATTTGTCAAATTATGGCATTAAATGATTTGTACGTCAAATTAGACTTTTTAAGAAACAACCATAATGTTTAAGAAATCTGAGAAAAAGTCTCATAATCCTCCATCAAAACATCCTTCTATGCCAGTAGCTGGCTCATCCAAAAATGAAGCTACTCCAGGGGATAAGGATGAAGAAACACCATCTTGCGGACAACGTTGTTGTAAATACATATACGATAAAGAAACAAAACAGTTTTGTGGTAGAACGTGTAACAGTTGGTTTTATATTATTGTTTATTCAATCATGTACTCTATCTTTTTAAGCACCTATACCTTGATATTGTTGTATGCATCTTTTAATGTGATTAAATATATGGATGATTATCAGACAATCGACAAAATGGACCTATGGTCATACTCAGAGCAAGGTATTGGTTTGACAGCGACACCAACTTCTTTAAACAATTTACCAGTCATTTGGTACAGGAACGATACAAGGGATTACCAAAAGTATATAACTGATTTGGAAAATTTAATAAATAAGAGGAGAAAACGTGAAACGTACAATACCTCTGACACTGATCTTGGACCATGCGGGTATTCACCATTCGGTTATGGAGATAAACCCTGTATAATAATTAGAATCAATCGACAGTTGAAATGGTCTGCTAAACCCTTAATTAACAATGTAACATTTATGAGTACAGTTCCCAGTACAGTACAGAGCAATTTAAAGTTGAAGAAACAAAAGCTATGGTTACATTGTAATGGTGTTCATTCTTACGACAAGGAGCACATTGGGAACATAACGTATTATCCTGAACCTCCAGGTTTTGATCCAGACTCTTTCCCATTGACTGATAACAGTTTTTCACCTCTAATTGCCATACAAGTATCGAATTTCACGTTAGGCTTATCACTGATTATTGAATGCAAGCTGTGGTATCAGGAGGGCGTTTCTTCTACGGAATTTGTTTTATATGTCACGCCTAAGAAAAAATGATCTGTTTGGTTTTGTAAATAAGATTTTAATATATATATCTATTAAATATGGCGAGTCAATTATTATATTATATGTACCTAATGAATTTATAAATGTGATTTTTAAGAAAGCGTTACTTAAACATGTGTTATCTTATAAATTTACAATTCAAAATGTCGTTAACAATCTTGTGGTCACATTATAGTTTTTAAACTACAATGCAAAGCGCCTAAGAAGTGGTAATTTTAAATATATAGTTGGTTCCTACGACAATTTATTATATATGAATCTTGTTACATATAAGTATTTCTAAATTTTGAATAGAATATTATACATGCAGTCATGTTACGTTCTCAGGATGAATTCGACGTAGAATACGAATTTAGTAGTTATTAATAACCAACATAGAGTATCTTAGCTACCGGTACCTTACTTAATAAAAGTTTGTTTTTTCAATATTTCACGCTCTAAAATCATCAGAGTGCATTGTCTACTTTACTAATAAGTAAATTTCTTAAAGGAAGTAATATTCACACGTAAATATACATTTTTCCTATCGAATACTAACGAGAACTTTTTGCATACAAATGCAAGAGAATTTGATATAACCCAATCTAAAAATAAAACCAATCTATCGATTTAAGTTTATCTTATCTATGTAGGTTTCCTCAGCGTGAACGTTTGTGGCTTTCCATGTTTCGGGGAATTGATTTAGATCTATCTTCACTTGTCCGATATATATATTATATAACCTTTTTGACGGAATCCAAATTAAATCTGACATACCTAGAGTAAATAATTTATTCTACATACTATTATGTAAATATTATCATAATTGTAGCATACCATTCACTATATATCTTACGTATATTACTATGTGATAGTAACATATAAATTTATGCCATAACGTTGAATTAGTGTAAGACGAACCAAGCCTCCCAATCGGATTAGGTCGGATGATTGAAATTACTTGCTTTACTGATATGCTCAGGATTAAATCTAAACTTCGTATACATACAAATTTATATACACATACATATATATTGTGGCTTCTGGAAGCAATAACAATAGAAAATATAAAGGCAAAAACTAAACAGAATTAACTGTATTTTTGTCTTTAAATACCCACAAAATACATTTAATTAATACAACATAGGGTTTTTTTAGTCACAACGCTTGATCAAGACGGGTTAGTGATTTCAAACTTATAATTGTGAAATTATAAGTCCAGGTTTCCTCACGATGTTTTTGTTCACGCAGGGTTAAAAAAAAATATTTATTAACTCTCATCATCATTACAGCTTTGCAATTAAAAATCTCATCGCTGATTATTATTATATTATGTTTCATCCACATAAATGTAATATCAATTGGAACAAATGGAAATGGAACCAATATCATATATTGGACGCGAATCATTTATTCAATTAGAATCAGCGTGTGGTCTTATCCAATTAGGTACATGTGATGGTGACAATGTTGACAAAACAGTTTTCATTATTTCCTTAACACTTATCTTAATAGTAAGGTCGTAAAAAATTTGTTTCAATCTTTATTAAACTGTTGAATAACCTCTAATAGATAAATAAAATATTGTATAAAAATGCGTATATCGGTGATTTTCTTTACAAAGTAAAGATAATATTTTTATACATATATCTTGTACCATTATTTGTACATTTATATTCCGTTCGTTGCCAAGTTTTTGTTTCTTTACTGAAATATGTTCAGGAATATGGATAACATTGAGAGATATTTATTATTCTGCAGACGGATTTGTATAGATATTTTTCATCAATAAGTTTATTGATTTTGAAATCATGAAGGAAATGTACTGTTGATGATGGATACAAAATTCTGAGCTGACTTTGTTATTAACAAAGCTAAATAAGTGATATGATTCAATTCCACCTTGGAACCGTATTTCAATAACACCTATATATTTAACTAATTTTTCCCACGACTTCGTCCGCGTTAATTTCGGCATTAGTTATATTTTTATAGATGAGCGGCCGAACTCTGTTCCGCCCTAGAGGCCATAAATAAGCAGATTTTTTTTTTCTTTTTCTTTTTTGATTAAACAGAATTAAAGATCCTATGTCCGTCTGTTGGTACTAAGCTACATCCCCGCCAATTACAACCTTATCCCTGCAGCTGTTCTTGAGTTATAAATAGTATAACTAACACAACTTTCTTTTATATATACCCATATACAGATATTCATTAAGGAATTAAATGTATTAATGAATTTTCAAAGGCATTCGCAGATATTTTATATTTATTGTAAGGGTTTTTTTAAGTATAACAATTATTTTCGCAATTTCTTTAGCACATATTTCTGTGGTATTCCATAGTCATACCCATATTAATTTATTATTATACATTTCTTAAGAAATACGTAAATGAAACACATTTAAATATTAACGCAATAATTTATTAATACGCTAATAATTCAATGATTATTTTATCATTATTTCACACTATTTTAAAGATCTGATTTAAGTAGTGAAGACATTAGAATCCTTTATAAGGTAATAAAATCCACCAAAACATCATTTCCAATGTCCCTTCATCCTTTTCACATTCTTTATATACATTAATATGTGTTATTTAAATTAAATACATTATATTTTCTTGTACTTTCTTCGATGGGAATATCGTTCACTATAAATAGAATTTTTATCGCACTGACACACTATTTTAAAGACGTTAATTTGTGTCTTATTCCATAATTTTTATGGAGATTTCTTTTTTAAAGTTTTCGAATACATATATTGGTAATTATCAGCTATGAACAGTTCGACAAGATATATAAATGTTCTCTTTCAACGACCAAACGCCCATATATATCTTTCCATCCCTTACCATTTTACGGGCGGTCATAATTTTTTTATGATTGTAACAAGAAATGCCTCAAATAAAGACTCCATTAGCCCACTTCCAATTTTAAACTCTCCATGTTTTATTGCTCAAATTTTTATTCCGGTCGATAACATTAATGACTTTTATTCCGATCGAAAAAAGTTAATTGATGAAAAACTTATGTTATAGTAGGTAGTAATTATAAGGGAATCTTTGTTTCATTAATTCTATTTATTGGCACTAGCTAGATACTATCACATTCGGATCCTGCTTATAAATCAAACCACGATGAATGAACAACTAAATTTAAAGCGTGGACATACAATAGAAAGATTACGTACACTTTGAATATATGTGGCGTAAAAAAATATAAATATTGAAATAAATAAGGAGAACGGGCTTAAAGTTTCGGTGAGTAAATAATATTTGATGTAGGCTTCAAATAAATACCATAAAAATAGGTTAGTATGATTTTGCACACATTAATAACTAATATGATTAAAGTTGCCAAGTTTGCCAAACCATCAGCATCAGTAGAAAATATTTGATCATTAATAATGTTAACACAAAATAATTTAAATTTCATCGGTAAAAATCAGATAACACACGAATATTAAATCTTAATGCTGGTAAAAAAACCTTAATTATATAAAAAAAATATTCAACGGAAAAAATAATTCTTTGGCAAATCAGCAACTAAGAATTGACATACGATTCATCTACTCTTAAGCTGTACGCGTTACATTACATCCTGCTATACAATTCCATTATATTTTCGCAATATTCATTGTAGGCTTATCAAAAATAGAAGGATTAGAGATTAATATATATCACAAAATATATTCATTGTCACCACAAACGATTCCATTGCTTACAATAACAAAGCTAACATGTTTTATAGACGTCATTAAAAATATACATCTTTTAACTAAGGCTTATTCAAATAAATACAAAGGCTATAATTATTAAAATAATTAAAAACATAAAATAAAATTATTAATTGAATTAACTAAGAAACAATTTCAGTGTTAACTTTGGTATCGTAAACAAAATATCGTAATAGGCCTGACATCACCATTATGGACCACTGAAAAGAGGTATTAATTCAATAATTAGATTAAAAGTTTGAAAAGCTACAGGCTACCATGCTTCTGTTATTAATTGAACGTGGTAAAAGTTAACAGACTAAGGTTAAGGTGTATTTACTAAATTGACCAAAAAATCTAAAAATATCTTAAAAACAGGACGATTAGGAAACTGCTAACTAACTCTCTTGATGACATCGATGATAAAAACTAAGCACTACATCGTAGTACGTACATACATGCTGGAGGAAAATTCAGTCAATATAAATCTAATTAGAAAATATCTTAAATATTTTAATATCCTAAGATAGTTATAGCATCTGATAATAAAATATATTTTAAGGATAACCCGATAGAATTTGAAATAGAAACAATAGCAAGTAAATATAATAAGATGTTGAATTTTTGAGACAATTTAAAATTCTCATTACATTTAAGAGTAAAGCTTTGTATATGTAAATAATACTTAAATTTTTAAGAGACGAAACCTTTCCTACCAACTACGGCACTAAAGATAAATTCACTTTATAATATGTAATCTAAATAAAATATGATTAATCGCAAATTTAATGATAATTATTATTCTAATATACAAACACATATAAATAATATTAATTTTAACAATGGACGAACACATCATTCGAGCGAACGCAGTCTACTTAAATGATTTTAATTAAGTCATTGCTTACAAATGAACTACATAAGGTTCAATTACAAGTTAGAACATTTTAAGTGCACTTCACTTACAATGCTTACTCGTTTGCGATTTGATACAATCGTTTATTTCATTCCGATCTTTCACATTATCACAATGATGTCAGGGTAGGGTATAGTATCTACAGACTACATTTATAAATGAAAACAAATTCTCTATTTTTATTCTGAATGGCGCTAATCATTTGAGATCACAAATTGCTTTCAGATTACAGATAAATCACATTAAGGTAGGCTCACTTGTACAGTATTTTTTCGAAAATAGTCTGTTTTCTATCACGTCACATATTACACCCAGATCGGTACAGAATAGAAACGTTAGGCCACTTTGCAGGTACAGTATTCAATATGGTGTTTTGACCTCACCCGTACTAATTTCAAACAGATTTTTAAACTCGTCTGACTAGAACTTGTGGTTTTATATTTTTCCGTAAATCATGTCCATAGCTTTGTAAAAATCTTGTGATATATCAAGGAGCCAGAATAATCCTCAAATGTAAAGGCATGTCATGATAGATATTGCCGTAATTATGTATAAGTTTGGTAAGTTCAGGAATCCTTTACTCCAAGTGCAGTCTAAATCTTTCGCGATGACCTAAAACATAGATGAATATCATGAGTTCTGAATTAATATCTTGTATAACAATAAAATTTAGATTAAAATAACTTACATCACTGAAAGTCCTGTTGTAATGGGAAGGACATTTTGCAAATCTGAGATCATCTCGAACAGCAACGCAACTAGAGGGACTCTCGCATAAATATTGTCTTCGTTTACGATCCCACGCTTGAACCCAACTAAAAGTAGACAGAACAATAAAATCAAATTTCTCAGAATTTTATTTTATTGCTGTGAATAATATACATACCCGATGCGACAATCACAGTATAGAGGATTTCCAGACAAAAATATGTCGTGAAGGAATAAAGAGTTTGGTACTCCCGGCCATTCATGTCTCGCTGGATTGGGAACCCTAGCTATATTATTATGCCTCAAATCCAAGGTAAGATTCTTCACATGACCTGGTCTCCAAAAAACTTCACTTTCTATTTCCTCAAGGCTCGTATTATAAATGGTCAGAGTCAAAGTTTCAGATGTAACACCCTAAAAATTATGGATTGTTAAATGTTTTCTCAATGGCAGAATGAGTAAATAAGGCTATATATCGCTTTCTTTCTGATTATCTAAGTAAAAATTAAGTTTGATATACTTACACTTAGCAGATTCTGCGACAAAAATTTCAAAGCTTTACCAACAATAGTAATATTATTTAGCTTGGGAGGAAGTTCTCCAACCATCTCCTTGCCAAGATCGATTTGAGAATTGTCTATATGTAAATACAAATTCTTCAATGCATCATTATGAGTCAGTATCTTTGGAATATTGAAGTCTCTTATATTTCCATTAACGGATATTTTCAGAGTACGTAATCCGTACATTTTGCTGAATGCCCCGGCCTGGAATGAAGTATTTATTTTATTATTCTGTCTATTAGTGTTTTTTTGTTTTGTATTTAGTAGCTTATTCTTCTGTACCAATTAAAAAAACCTTTGATATTAACCTCTAGTATACTCAATTTTAGGTGAGTAACGTCTAAGTATTCTAGTCTCGGAGACACGCCGTACATGCTAGTGTTCATCAGGGCAGTGATTGGATTCCCAGATAGAGACAACCAACGAAGTTCGCTGAGGGAGTGAGTCGCCTGGAAAAATACATATAATATTTTTGAAACAAATATGTGAAACTTCTGTCATTATAAGACAACAAAATTTTTGCTGACTTTATTCTAATTTCTTTTAAAAATGTTTACTTACTACAGGAACATTCGTCAAATCATTATAAGACAAATCCAGAGCTCTGAGACGAGTCAAGTTTGCCGTCATGTCTGTTGGAATAGAGGGAAAGTTGTTGTATGATAGATCAAGGCTTTTTAACTTCGGCAACGGCATTGAAGGGATCTATGGAGAAAAAATATTTTTGATATTTTAATTATTATAGTCAAAAATTAGAATTACCTCTTATCTTATATACAATATTGCCATTCTCTTGATACTAACATTTGTGAGACTAACATTCTTCAGTCCCAAATGAGACAATCTTCTTTCTAAACCTTTGAATATACTGCTTCCGCGGTCGTTGTTGTTAAATGGCATATTCATACTTAAATCCAGCCATCGGAGTTTTGGTAAAGCAGCAAAAGAACCGCTTTCAACTCTCACTAAGTGATTGTCAGACAAATCCAACCACGCAAGCGACTGTAATTTTTCATAAACAAAATGAAATAAAATATAAATCCAAACAACATCTATCACATTTTAAGAGTTAGTTTAAAGCAGTAAACCAAAATGTTGCAGAAAATTCAAGAGAAGAAGTCAATGAAATAGAAGAGAGGTAGAAAATAAAAAATACAACAGCAATTAAAATAACTACTATACATAACTTAGGTATTAGTAGCAAGTGCAACAAGCGAAATAATAAGCTATAAGAAATCTTAAGTGCTTTATCTGACAACATTTTATAATTTTTCTTGAGACTCATAAAGAAAATCTCAAGATTTGACGTCAGTTGAAGCACCTGATCACAAAACATCAATCTACCTTAAACAATATGTTCTGCGGGTATTGTTTTTTTTGATGGAACACTCTGGCGTGGTCGCGCCTAGCCGTGTGGTACATGTATTCATCACTGTAGTCCGGTTCCTCGGGCCAGTCGTCGTGCTAAACCCGAGATGGTTATTATGAAGAGCTTAGATTTACGAAACCGATTCAAATTTTGACAATAATTTTCAACTAATCGCAAAACCAGATCTATGTAATTTGTTTATAAATGAAATAGTCTATTTCAAAGTGTAATTAATTAATAAATGACACTGATTTCATTAAAGATTTTGTCTGTTTTTTTGAATTTAAATCGTTGTTTTTATATAGAAAATTAGTTGTTTTGTATTCTTCCTAAAGTTTACAGTAGTAATTTGAGTAAATCATGCTATTGCCACGACAACAGCACACGAGTCACGGTTGTAAAAGCACTACCACACACTGGCAACACATCTAATGTTAGTCATGTATAAATGTCTTATATTCTCCATTAAATTTCAAGAACTACAAATTGAATAGATCAGTATAAAGTAAACTATAACAGTTTAATAGAGTATTAATGAATTTTAACTCAAATATATATCTATATCAAAAGCTAGAGAACATAAAACCATAGGTTATTCTATCAAATATTCAAACTTTTTACACTTCAAATCAATCAAGCTGTTAGATTAACTACAATAAGATAAAATAAAACTACTTACCCTATATCTTTGGACTAAGTCAGCGATCGCTACAGCGGGTATATTGTTCCCGCTCAAATCTAGTTCTACTAGATTAATAGCAGCAGCCGGAGATAAACAATTTGTCGGTATTCGTGACAAATCATTGTCAGATAGGTCTAGCCTAAAAATCAATCACCATTGTTAATTCAAATGAATCATGTAAAAATTTCGTTAAAAAATTCTAATGTCAGGTTCTTATTAGAGTAACTTTGAAATCTAATCATTTTCAATGATATTAATTGAAAGGATTTGTTATAATTATGATGAAAGACTTATTACCTTTCCAAAGCTGGAGATATGATAAGATTATCGGCTAAGTTTTTAATATTGTTGTCTGAAAGATCCACTGATGTAAGTCCTTGCATTTCGTGGAACACTTCCACAGGTGTATCGAACAGGTGATTATGTGACAAGTCTATTATCTGCAACATGATATTATTATTAGATTTTGAAAGTATTTATAAATAGTTTATAAGATGTACATATACTTACTTGCAATCTTTTAACTTTCTTAAAACAGTCATACTCCATGTGGAATATTTGATTATGAGATAAATCCAAGTATTGCAACATTAGCATGGATCCGAACACTTCTCGTGTTATATTACGAATCATATTGTGGGAGAGGTGTAACTCTGATAACGTCAGGTCCGCATGTCTGGAATCATATGATTAATTAGAAAATATAAATAAATAATCTTTAATTTTACAACAATCATATCAAAGAAATGTTATTTATCACCTGAAGTAGTATGGTGCGATGTACGAAATGTTATTGTGTGAGAAGTCCAAAACTCTTATATTCACTGATACCGTGCCAAGTCCTGAAACAGTAATATAAAGAATATAAAATATAATCTATGTCATATTTATTTATTATAAATATATTATATAAAGCAAGAAGCAAAACGAGTAAACGAAAATCACCTCTTTCTATACGCAGAGGACTGGGATCCTCAGAAACTAATCCTGCGAGAAAGCAAAGAGTAATAAGCGCATGCAAAGCAAAAGAAAAATAAAGATATTAAGAATTGAGAATTTTATCAGACCCTTAGCCAAACTCAATAAAAGAGAAGCACAATCAGATATGTTAGAAGAAGTGAATGCAATACAAATTTGAATTAAAATAATAGTTGCAAGTACGCAATATTATAAAGGTTAATAGTATAATGACTTACTTTGCGCTTTAGGTGGAGGGTAAAAGTTTGAAGAGAAGAAATTGACAGCATTTGAATCAGTCAATGAAACTATTCTGTTGTAAGACACATTTACTTTCAAGGCCGTTGCAGATCCAACTTGATCAAATATAGAAAACTTGAACGTCTCCAACTGATTAAATGATATATCTAACCTGAAAATCGCAAAACAAATTGTTTATATTGATATTATTCTTCAATAATTTATATAGAAGCTATGTTTAATAAACTTACTCTTTCAAGGCAGGTAGATTCTGGAATGCCTCTTCACTAATTTCAGTAATAATATTTCCTCTTAAGCGAATCACCTTCAGGTTGTCTAAACTTGTGAAAGAACGTCTATGTACTGTTTCTATTAAATTATCTTCGATTAAAATTTCTTGTAATTCTCGTAAATTGACAAATGTATGTTGATCGATTCGTTGCATTTGATTTAGTGATAGAGACACGCTTTCTAACTGTCGATGTATGTCACTCTAGAAATAAGAAAAAGTTATGTACATTAGACAGTGCCTTGAATTAGGTAAGATCTTACAGGTTACGCATCAATTACCTGTAAAGTTCCTTTAGAGAAGTGATCAATGAGATTATCTTGAAGATTTAATGTTTTTAATTTATATAAGAAGTGGAAAGATGTATCTGGAACGTTCCTCAATTTGTTATTACTAACGTCCAAATCCTGCAACTCTATTAGTGCTTTCAAAGGTTCAAATGGCAATATTTTCACGGAATCTGCCAATCCATTGGCTAATTTTAATGACGTCAAGCTATGTAACTGTAAAATAATAAGTGGACATCATTAAACTCACGTTTGAATTCAATATATATACTTTGATTTTGATATTTACCTCAGCAAAAGCGAATGGGTCTATAAAGTCAATGTTATTTTCAGACAGATCTAAGGACTTTATAGTCCGTACATGTTGAAAGGCGCTGGCTTCGATTCGATTGATAGTGCTTCCGATTATTTTTAGATCCTCCAATTCCACGCCAAATTCTAGGAAATCTTCCGCAGATATACTGCGTCTTATCAATTTACTCACAGACAAATATCTCAGGGAACGCATTCTAAAAACAATAAGGTAATTTGTTTTAGCGTTGTTCATAATGTTCTTACTTTTTTCGCAAATCGTTAGTAGCGTTGGACATTAAAACATTGTTTAGTATCTAATTAAAACATTTACACAACCTAAAAATTGCGTCTTGTTAAGAATGGCGACAAAGTTCCATCACCGACTTAAACCGCATCTACTCCCATGACCTTAAAATGAACGATAACAAAACTCATACATAGAACACACTTAAGCTAACTAAAAACTACTAATGACAAAGTGCTTCAAACAAAGAAAAGCTAGCCATTCTTAGTTCGATGTTTGATTTATATAATAAAATAAATGAGAATGTGAAACATTCATAAAGCCGGTTTCGAAAATCAGCCACATAATAATGAGTAATCATAATCATAATGTTTTGTGTTTGTAACGTGCTGATAAAATTGCTTTTAGTTATGATAGAAGCAAACTATATCCCTTCGATTCGACAACATAGAAAGCCAGTTGGTAAAACATACCGAACTTACTTGCTATCATAGCGGCATTGTATGTCAGACTCGTTTCTGTAATCAAAATGTAATAGCAGGCTCGTACGAAGCTAAATCAAAAGCATTTTATTTTAACTAATACTGAACACTAAATATCGAGCTATCTAATAAACCAAAGTCATTAGAATTTAAAAATATTTATTATAAGAACTATTATTCAATACTTAAAAAATTACTCAAACAAAACAAGTTAAATTTCTAATATCATGCAAAGTTCTAAATACGAAGAAAATTATAGATGAAAAGTTATAATACTAGTTTTTACTGATATAAACTTGGATACTACATTCGTCATGAACAAAGGTTTACGTTATCATTCTAGAGCGTGCTATGAAGAGAAATAAACTAATAGAAATGAAAAACATCTAAACAACTAAGTATAAAGAAAATTTATGAAAAGAAATTTCCGCGAACAAAATAGTTTCCCGATACGTTCACTAACTTTGTTAAAAGTAATAACGTCTTTCAGGACTTTTACTACGAGCACCATTTATTAGATTTAGTCTTGACATATCATAAAATAGATTTTGTTACAGAACATTATTAATTCAACACTGTAAGAAAAAATCAAGGTTCAAAATATGATAATTTTAAATATAAGAAAAATCTAAGTTGTAAATAACAACTACAGAAATTGTAATCTATTTCAAGTCATCTAATTTTAGAAGAGAAAACAAAGATTCAAATGACAAGGTCTTTTTTATTTGGTCAAAATTTAGATCACAAGGATCCCATTTTATTGTGATAATAATTTTAAATTTATTTTAATAACAATTTTTTAGGTTGTGTAAATTAATGTTCAAGGTTAGTTAATGTTAAATAAAATAAATTAATTAATATTAAGTGAAGCGGACATCATTTACAAAGAACACTAACCTTCTCACATCTTGCAAGCTTATTTCAAGCGATGATGAGCCACTGATGTCCAAAAAGAACAACTTATACTGAAAGTTATTTATCGATGGTGTCGAGTATTCTGATGGATTATTCGTTGCTAGTAAATTCGTGTCCACCTACAAAAGATTTCGTGATGTATTTCAATTATTCAATGGTATTCGCCTTCACATAATAAATGTTCACGTAATCTTTCATACCTTATTTTCTCTTAGGTTCAAGAATCGCAACGAGTCTAACTTGTTTAACATGAATTTGGATATCATTGTGAGGTTGTTTTCAGATAGATCTAAGGACTGAAGGGTGTTTTCAAGGCCGGCGAATGATGCTGGAGATAGGTCAGTGACCCCGCAGTCTCGCAGAGATAATGTTTTAATCTTTGCATTTCGGAATGCATCTTCCTGGAATCAAAATTAGGGCAACAATGTAGTATTCATAATAAAATTATCAAAATAAAAACTTTTAAATTGATATGAGTTACTAAGATTTATTAATATACACAGTTTTCGCTTTGCTAAATCTTTTTTGTTTGTATGCAACAAGTATAATTATTCATGTATACCATTTATTTATACACGTTCTTTTATAGTCACGCAAGGCCAAGTGAAGGCATAAAAAGCTTAGGATTGTAATTATGATTGTATATGTTTAATAAAATCGCGACGCCTTGAAGCTTAGTTGTCATATTACATTGATTTTCCGTTCATACACGTGTAGTACCAATTTAACTAAATTATTATAACATAATCTTCTCCTTAAATTTATCACATTCATTTTGCTTTTATTCTTCTTGTTAATCAGTCAAGTCGATCCATATTTATATAGACAAGCATACGATATATATTTTGTTGTTAATAACAAGGTACCTTAAATAAATAGGGAGCTATTCCTTTAATCGGGGGCTAAATCATTTCTTTGATGTTTATTCAATATGAAATCCTCCTGTATGTAGCCATTTCTTTTGGAATATAATTTCTTTCAAGACACATCTCGACAGCAACCTCTCTCTTAGGTATAAAATTTTATTATACATACTATAATAATTAATACATAATACTTACCCTGATGGAGTAAATCGGATTCCCATCAAGAACAGTAGTATTGAGAATGTTGAAGTACTTAAACGAACCAGGCATTAAAATTCGAATACTATTTTGATCCAAGCTGAAAAAATAGGTATTTAATTAAATTATGGTAACATTGTTAGAAGATAAGTGAACGACAGGGCAAAGACTTATTATATGAATATATCTTATTGATATTATGCAGACAAAATGGTACTTACTTAAGCTGATCCAATGAAAGTTTAACCCCATTCAACTCATGGGCGGGAGGAACTTGCTTGATGAGGTTGTTGGAGAGATCAAGCACTCGAAGCTGCCGAAGTGGAGACAACTCCTCATAAGGGATCAACGTTAGCTGGTTGTCTCCCAGAAGAAGCTTTAAAGGTTAAGAAAAAAATGTAGACGATTCATATTTTAGACCTTGCCAACCACTACCAGCATGCCAAATGTTAAAATAATATTTTGTATGTAAACATATTTTAATATAAACATACCTTACTGAGTCTGCTCATACCGTCTCTGAAGACTCCACTATCAATTACAGATAAATGGTTCCCGTGTAAATCCAATGTCTCCAGCATCGGCAATCCAGAGAACGCATCTAACGGCAGGCTGGCTATTGAATTTTTTGCTAAGATAAGCGTTTGCAGCGTGTTCTCCAAGCCGAGCCAGTTGTCACCAGAAATTTCTGTTATTTCATTACCTTAAATATAAAGATGATGTTAGTATGTGGTTTTGTGAACAAGAACATTATTATTATAATTATCTGATGCGCTAGTCAGATACCATAACTTAATTTTAAAAACTACTAAAACTTTCAGATTCGAGATTAATTTAAAAATTTATACATACAGATTTTATTTTATCTCTGTATATATAAAAATTTCGTGTCATGTATTTGTCCGCGATGGACTCCTAAACTACTAAACCGATTTTAAATTTGATTTGCATTCCGTGTGCATTTTGATCCAACTTGAAAGATAGGATAGCTTACATCTTTATTTATAGTCACAATAGTATTTTATTGCAAATTATTGGTCTATTAAAGAAAATTATTTGTCATTATTACAACTATCTGTTGACTGAGTTAAGTATTCAATAGATGACGCTATGTTAAAAATACAAACGTCATATATGTTCGACTATTTAAATAGACTAATTAATAAAAGCATAACCACCACGTGTTTCTGAGGCTAAGGTATAATCTAAATTTATTTATTAAAAAAACGTAAGAGATATTTCTTGATTATAGGGCGATACGAAGTTCGCCGGGTCTTCTAGTATGAATATAAATTTTAAAATGAGAAAGGTTTGATTCTAATATATTCGACACATTAAAAGTTTGAATAAAATATTTCATACACAATAAGGTAATTTTTTCTATAAATCATAAATAAAAAACCATTTTATCTTTTAAGAAAGCCTGATTAAGCAATTAATTATTATGAAAGATGAATTAAAATAAATCTTTAACCGATTTATTTGAAAACAGAAAAAAGTTTGTATGGAACCCGAACTAAAAGACTGGAACATAAATTAAATGGCAAATAGAAGTAGAAAGCAGAATATTTAACTTTTGACTGCAACTTTGCTGAAGAGATAATTTTCAGACTTTTTATTATTACTATCGAGATTAATACACGTCGATTCTACTTATTCCTTAGCTGAACAAATTGTTTGTATAAGAAAAATTGCATATACCTAAATAGCTTAACAAATAAAAATATACATTATAGAGATTCTTAACTAAGATTGAATAAGTTGTAATATTGTAAATTGTAAGCAGAATTTTTCAATTTCAATTGATTTCTAAACATCAATACTAATTTGTAATAATAGTACAAATATAAGCATCTATATTAAAATAAATATGTATATTAAGGTCGTTAATATGGACAAAATGTTTCACAGACCCTCTGCCAAAATTTGATAGCGTGTTGGACGATTTATATTAACTTGAAAATTATTATAAAATTAATTTTACAGTATGAAGTATTGATTGTTTCTAATATTTATCGAAAATTTTAAAGTACAAAGATGATTATCACAGGAATCATCTTAAATTCAGCAATCTATCTTCTAAGTAGGAATTCGTTGATTCATATCGTTTATTGGAGAGCCCATTGTGGCTCCATTTAATATTTCCTTATTAAATTCCTTTGAGCATGTGCTGAGCACACTATCGCAATCTTTGTTCTAGATACTATATAATTATCTTAATAACATAGTTCTCGAAGTACTTATCGGTTTAAGAACGGAAAAATATTAATTAGATTCAAATTTAATTTGTCTTTATGATATATAACAATAAAATTTACAGCATGATAGAATTATAGAAGACAGTCAAATATTTTTTCACGAAAACATGTGTAAATAAATAATATGTTTTGTGTACGTAAGAAACTGATTTTGGAAACACACTTACATAAAAAATTTAATATTGTACACAAACTGTTTTCAACTTTTCTTATTAATGTATCTATATTATTCAGTCCAAAATTCTTACATTATCAATTTCGTGCTAAAACAAAATTCCTATTCATAATATAAATAGCAGAACAAATCCAAGACACTTAATAATTTCCAAACGATACACTTTATCCCCTACAGATATAAACCACAATATTATGACACTCACCCGTCAAATCAAGAAGGCGCAGCTTTTGCAAGTATCGTAGAGCCCGGCTCGGTACGGCCGTCAGCTTGTCCTGCATTAATTCCAACTCCCATAGTGTATTGTCTAAACCATAAAATGCTTCCTCGTGTATACTCTCCAGTGGATTCTGGTTTATAGCCAGCCTGTATAACCCTGAAATTTATGACTTAAATATTGTAGAAATCTACGAAAAATTCCTAAAATACAATTTCTCATATTGGATGATAAATTTTAGTTATAGATCCGAAGTATAACGAACATGTGTTCACAACAAAGTCCAATTAACTAGTTTTGAATTTCCGTACTCCTAAAATAACACTATTCAAATAAAAATCCAATGTACTCCGCTTTTTCAATTAACACTTCAAACAAACGGCTGTCGTTGACTGGCGTTGTATTAAACTACTAAAATAACAACTTTATATAAAAGTTCCACAACACAAATTTTACGTAAAATTTGCTTATTAAGTAACTTGGTAACTATAGTTGGAGAAGTAATAAAATTGTATTTTGAAAGCAATACAGTAATACGCCTTTTGAAAGTAAAGAAAAAATCTTTATTAAATCGGACAATCGGTCGAAAATAAAGGCGTTATCTTCATAATATACCGTTCTCCGTTTAGTTATTCAAGACCCTGAACCGAAGCCACACTGACTGTCTTTTACCCACACCTGATCCAAACATATTATGCCGATTGCCAACCCGACCACGTAATGTGTTTATTATGTCTCAAAATTGACCGAAAAAAATGTTAATAAGGCGTATTTTATTTAAAGCAAAACCACATTCAAAGATAATATTGTTTATAATACCAAAATTTCCCTTACATAAAACGATATTTCTTAACTTTATGGTGTATGATATAGTATATTTGTATGAGAATTCATATCATTCTTCTGTGCGCATTGAATCAAAATACTACTATCGCATATTTGTGTGACAACTTGTATATGAATTTATGGCACTACTCTGAACGTTTGTGTTTCTGTTACAAGGAAACGTAGAAAATCATAACAAGTTGAATATACATACATTTTACTCTGCCTTAAATAGGACAAATATATAAAAACTATAATGAAAATCAAGTATGATTTTGAATTGGACTATTTAAAACGAATGAAGTAAATTCTACTTAATTACAAAATTGTATTGTAAATAATACGTTTACAGCAAATCTCAGTTGCTATGATCAGTCAAAAATGCGAATACATGTTCAAATATATTTTATTACTTGAAATGAAACTAATATTTTCAGATTACTTCACGTATTTTATTATTTTTAAAAACTACATACTCCCGACGTTTTGGTTGCTGAAAATTAACCGAAACGACGGGAGAACATAGTCTTTAAAAATAATAAAATACGTGTAGTCATCCCAAAATATTAGTTTCAGTTCATTGAATACTCCCGACAGTCTTAGATCTCATTGTATTAATTCATATTTTTACCTGTGGCTTGGAAAAACTGTGGTTCCAAATCTCTAATGTTGTTCCCAGTCAACTGTAAAGTGAAAACCTTGGAGCTGTTTACAGCAGCTGGTACCCTGAGGATGGGCACATGGTTGCAGGTCACGATACCAAGATCACCATCAGGTTTAGAGCACGTACAAAGAGCTTGGAACAGACATGGTGGATGTCCAGTGTCTACGTGTAACTGAAATTAAATTTAATAGTTATTTATTATATTATTTATATATTCATATTAAAAATATCAACTATTCATCAAAGATAAAAAGACTTGAAATGAAGAATGTGTCACTATTTTAAAGAGTTAATTAACAATAGAAATTCATAAATAATATAACACAACGTCAAATTTGTACGTGGGTATATGAGAATATTAGAAAACCGTGTTTTAACAATTGTACCGCACATGCAATTAAAAACACTACGAAAGTCTGATACTTTAATGTGAAAAATTGTTATAACATTTTTAGGTATACCAAAAAGATTATTAAAATAATTAAATTGGTTTACTAGTAAGTAAAACTATGGTTAGTTTTATATGCAATAAGAAAAGGTTTCTATGGCAAACATTATCATGTACTTACTTCTAACGCTCTGGCTAAGGACGCCCATATCATCAACAGGAATGTTACTACCACAAGGGTATAGCCGAATTTCACTAAGGTCATCAAACTCTGAAAAAAGATATTGTTTTTTGTATTAAAAAATACTTATGACTGCTAAAATATATTATGGTATAAATAATACTTTAAAAAAAGCAAGATGTTAATCATTTCTGATACACAATTCACTTATACACATTAACTGATCGGAAAACAGAGTCTATTTTAACTATAGGTTTACGTTTAATCAAAAAACCAAGTAATATCATTGCTAACATTATTGAAAAAAGTAAATACGTATTTATTTATCTATTACTATAGTGAAGAGAAGCATATTTTATTTGAAAAATAAAAGCAGTTTCATTAAAAGCGAATGTATTACAGAATTATGTTTTATGTTTAGTATTTCACAGATTACTTTTTCCGTAATTTAGCTGATAAATGAAGTAGTACCATCATAACTTTTACTTCCTGGTTAGTAAGTGTTGTGATCGATATGTTTTTCTTTCAACCAAAATGTTATGGAGTCCGTTTTATCTAATAAAGGCTATATTAATCTGTAATTTCTCGTCAGCGAATACAAATGTCGGTCCGTAAACATTCCTTTAATCGCACTACGAGTGAAACCAAAAACCAACTCAATCACAATGTATTTAAGATTGATATTTGCAAGATTACATTATGATCGATATTTAGAGTACATTTTTGTTGAAATACGTACTGCGGTTGGCAATGTTCTTTTCATTTTCCATCTAAAAGGGGTATGTTTGGTATAATTGTTAATAGCATCACATAAATGAAGAGAGCCATGCTCCACGTAGCATTTATGTACGTAAATATGTCAAGAAATATGGTTTATTCTATATTATTGTATATGTATGATTGCATTATATTTGAAGAGTAGTAGAGAAGTTTTCTTATACATGGTGATTCAGTATAACTTATGATTGTTTTTAGGAAAAGAACATGCTTTATCACGAACAATTTTTATATAAAAGCGTATTTCAAAGGTTTAGTTTACAGACCTATCAAATACGATATATGTGTCTTTTTTAATTGAAAGCAAACAAAATATTGACTATTTGAATAAAATTTTCTTTTTTTATATTACTTAGGTATTCTGTAATTTTATTTTGAATATCGATTAACATTTATTAAATGTCTAGATAAAATTAATATCTTTTGAAATCTTTTAATTCTTATGATTATAATACGTCGTTATAGTTTGATTGGATTTGTTCAAAGATCAGTTCTAACATAAACATTACTATATTTGCAAAAGGTTTTAATAAAACTTGAAGTATAACAATACGCTCTAAAAACTTGGTTTAAAATGTATTCTCTTGCTGATCCTCATGAAATTTTTGTACTTTAAATCACTTCCATATTGTGATGTTACAAAAATTACGTAATAAATAACTTCTAGTTTCAAACTTTAGTTATTTAACTGAAACTAAATCATTGTTGACTGTAGCGTTTTGTTAAGATTATCCACTGTCGATGCGATGTTTGCTTGGCGCAATCAAAGTTTGGAAACTTTAAGCGATTGCTCGATAACTCGTTACCAATTTCTGAGCTCTCGGTTCCACCTTCAATACTACCGGAGTTGTTTGACATTATAAAATATATAACTTCAAGTGAAACTAAACTTTACTTGTGAAAGAGTAAAAACTATTTTCCATTAATAGGAAACAGAAATACAGATTTTTTTTGTATTGATAACAGTTGGCCAGTAACAAATCTTATATGTGTAAAATCTGTGAAATGATCCAAAGAGTACCTAAGTATGTTAGATTAAGTAAGCTGTAACTGAAACTAATTTGGCAGAATAAAAATCTGCAGAAATAAAAAAAACCTCTCTTCTGTGGTATTAATTCCATTTCATTCATTTCCCCCTTTTTAAACTTTAAATCTAAAATCCTTGTATTTGATTGACATTTTAACTAATTATTAAGATAAAATTATGTGTATGAATGTAGTCCGTGTATATACAAAAAGGTATATTATACTAAAAACGAGGTTTTAGTGAATTCAAAAAACTATTTAGTAAGATAACAGTTATTTTAATGTACACTACTCTTGAAAATCACAAAAACCATTAATAACATATTCTCTCACGTTCATCTAGTAAATTATTGAACATTATAACAAGACCTCAGTGACCTCTTTGTAGAATTATCTTAAATAATTAATTTGTGCTATTATTCCTCCCACAAAATAAAAACGTAGGCATTTCTCAAAATATTCCACGAGTCCAGTGTGAATGAAGCCCAAGTGTTAAAAATATATAAAAATAAAAAACAATGCTAGTATATATCACGAGAAAAAAGATATTTAATCTTAGACATTTTTAAAAAAAAAAATTTGTATATTCGCCAGAAAATATTATCAAAAACAGGAAGAAATTACGTTAGCAACGTCATGGGCTTTAGCCTATATAATACGAGTAATTCTATTTAATGCTTTTATATACATATAACAGCGAACGGAGTTCATCAGTTCCTTAAATTTGAGTTTTCAGGTCAAAACAAAGTTAGTAGATTGTTAAGAGACAAGTAAGTTACGTTTAATTTTTTTTAATGCGAGTTTAAGTTTGCTTTTTCATAAAATTTGCTCGACCTACGAAATTAATCTCCGCTCGCTCGTAAATAAGCTTTTCGCTTAAGAAATCTTGTTACAACAAAACATTTGAACCCTCGAGTCGACATTTCAATTAACGTGTGGGAATTATTTATGGCAGATGTTACATCGGTTTTGACATTTTTAATATACTTCAAATGAACAAATAATATAATAATATTGAAGCATAGAATTAATTCGTTTCATATTATAATGTCTTTGAATATTTTATTCTCTTTCCATCTATTGAAAAACTTCTTGTTTCAAAAGTTGTAAACCAAATTTAGTAACATTTGTCAGGCATTAAACTATATAAAGAGCATTTTTACAGTCGAAACATTTTGGTTTACAAAAAATTAAAACTAGGTCTTGAGTTTCTTTATAATACTCGTTTGACCTAAACAATTCCTTTATTAATAAAATACTGACCAGAACAATCCCAAGTATGTTAGCAAAACATATTAAGTTAATTCCGTACGAATATGAAATATGAGAGATTGTTAAAATTAATTATAGTTATGGTTTAAATCTGTTACATATCCCATAACTTTACAAAACATGGTGTAATCTGATTATTGCAGTTACTAACATCTCTCCCTTAATCATTTTGTCTTGTTATAAACTACTCAATATGATTAACTCTTTAATAAGGAGGTTTTTTAATAAAGACTTTTTAACGCTTGTTTCTGGCTATATATTGAGTTCGAATTATGATTTAAAAATCAGATATTTCTCTTGTGAATGTGAATGTTAAAGAAAAGATATAGATTTTAAAACTTGAATAACAGAAAGTAAAAAATTAAAACTGAAAGTTATAAAAATAAAATTTATAATTTAAGGGGAAAGCTAATAAGCTACGCTAGCTTTTCATCCATGCTACTATTAGAAATAACAATATTGAAATACAAATTGCAAATAGACATAAATATATGACAATCATATAAGTGAATTAAATTTACATATTTAAAATTATAAGTAATGGAATTTAACTTATTTTTCAACTCAATTCAGTTAGTCAATTGAAACATACTTTTCCATAGAATAATAGCAACGTGTGTAAATTTTTGTGTTACAATATTCTTTACCTCTCACTTAATATACAAAGCACAAGTTAATATTAAACAATTAAATAACAAAACGTTGATAAAATTACTTAAAATATAATATAGTGGTAATACGGTCCGGTTTCTACAAAATCAGTAAATTTGCATCACTATTTAAAATGCTAAAATTAAAAATATCTATCGTCAATATGGTAAGCGAAATTCTATAATATTTTGATGGAATCCTGTTTTATCTGAATCTTCTAGATACTTGAGTGTTTAATATTAAAATTGGGTTCACATCATCGTGTTCTTAGAGATATATTTGATTTAACCGCTTCCATAGCATTTAAACTTATATTTAGTAAGAAATTAAAATACCAACAAAAAGGTATTTTAATGGAGAATTTAACAAAATAAAGGTCATAGAGTAAAAAAATTAGAAATATATAGTGGTAAAAAAGTTTACATTTAATTTAAATTTAAAAAGAATAAATTAGTTCTAATCTTAATAAATTATCTCAGCCCTCATAGTTTACACAAAAAAATTTAGAACGTTTCATCTTATAAATAAACACCTCGTGTCGCCGTGTTAGACAGAGAAGTCCTCCGAAACGGCTAGACCGATTCTCATGAAAATTTGTGAGCATATTCAGTAGGTCTGAGAATCGGCCAACATCTATTTTTCATACCCCTAAGACATAAGGGTTGTTCACCCTTATTTTTTTTCGGACAAAATATATTTTTTTATAATGTAGCATTTAAAAATACATACTACCCAAAATTTTTATTTTTTTATCACATACCCTATTTTTATATGGCGAAACAACGTTTGCCGGTTCAGCTAGTTTTTTTATAACATCATGAAATACAATTCCCAGTGACAAAACAACGACTGAAAACGTACACACAGACAATGACCTTAACGAGGCTGAGCACGATTGTTATATGGGACACCTTATGTGGGAAGAAATAGAAAGAAAGGCTTTCACACCATACATTTTATACAAATAAAGAGATTTATTAAGCTCCATACATTTAGAATAACGTGCGTCAAAAAATAGGAACAATATAAAAAGATTCAACGGTGAGATATTTCAAAAGAACCGACATTAAAATTAAGCACAAAAACGTTATTTGCAACAAATAAGAAACCCGTGGAGAGCGGAATTAATTAAAAGTAAAAATTTCAAACATTAAAGGATTATGTCAGGTCTGAACAACCGTCTTTATGTTCCGTATCTTTTCTTTTATTTCCCAGCTAATCCGGGAGCGGGTTTGATGAATAAAAACGTTATTTTCAGTATTATTATTATATTTTTACGACTGCAAGCGAATATAAAGTTGTTATATTTCGAAGAAGTTATAAATATTTGGAACACGATCTATATTTATATTAGTAAA